ACGTGGCCCAGGGCTGGTCTGGCAGCAAGTTGGTGGGCCAGTCTCAAGGATTCCTGGACAAAAATAAAGGGGATGTTCAGGTCTGGTCTGGAGCCGAGAAAAAGCTGTGGGCATCTGCCTCATCCCAAGTACTTATCTCTTCCCACTACATAGGCTCCCAGTTCCTGTTGTCGGACAAAGGAGCCCTCGCCCCACGCTTAAACCTTCAGATTCTCTACCACCAGTGCCTAGTAGACCAGGGGGAGGGTCTAGACAGATGGCCTAGGGAGAAATCTACATTCCAGAAGTACGAGCCTGGAATGCTGCATTTCCTCATGGAATCATGGTTATGTTCTAGAATGTCATAGCCTAGTACTGTGCACTAGAGACATGAGGAAAGTGGGCTTTTTATAAGCCGAGCCACCACTTGTAACTGCATTCTCACAGGAAAGGACAGAATTCCAAACAATCAGCTCATAAACATCATAGAAATATCATCCTTTTATAGGCTCAAAATTGCCCCTCGCCATCCCAACACCTTCCCTTTTGATACACTGGAGCTTGTTTCATGTATAAAAATCCATTAAGTAGCCCTGGGTTAGATTACTTCCTTTCCAGCTACATTTTTTTGGGAAAATCCCACATAAAGGAAGAGATTCTTTTTCACTTCCTTTTGGCCTCTGAACAAGCTCCAAGGTGTCATGGATAGGATGCAAGGATGCTTATTTCTCAGTCATATTTTGTGGTTCTATTTTCCTGCTATGGTAGCTCTGGGCCTGCCTCTGTGGGCCAGTCTGTGCAGCCTCATCTTGCCTGGGCGGGGACTCTCATTTCTCACACTTGTTTTTGGCAGTAATGCCACTCTATTTGCTGATAGCAGACCTACCATTGCAGCAGTAACTTTTTATACAATTCATGCTTACAGATACCACCAGAATGTTGTTTATCTTTTCGTAAGGAACATCAGGGGCATTACCTTTCACGTCCAAGCTCAATCTACCAGATTACATTCGCAGAAAGCCACAAGTCCAGGACTGGGAGAATTTCTTGGTGATTCAGATATAAGGAATGAGGCTTTCATTGATTTTCTTTTCTGTGTAGTTCAGGTTATGTAGTCTGAAGCAAGGGAAGACTGACCAGATGTTTTGCTGCCTGTTCTGACTCCTCAGTATCAATGCCATGCTTCTGACTTGAGGCAGGCAAACTTTGCAGTGCAAGGCTGAGGCGCCCAATCCCAAACACAGGGGTAATCAAGTTGGCTGGTTTGCAATGCTGCTGAGTGATAAGCAGGCATCATGATAGGGTGGAAGGTTTCTGGTCTAGCAGGCCCAGTCTACATACTTAGGGCTAAGATGTGCCTTGTGTTATTAAAAACTCAGTGTAGAATGAATCTCTAGACTGGGGAATAAATGAAGCCCCCCAACAAGGAAAAGGAAAAAAGCATGTAAGAACGGAGATTCAATGCATACACGTGTGCACACGTGCGCACACACACACACACACACACGTACATTAGAATGCTGGATTTGAAATCTCAAGAATTTCAAGTTCCTAAGCAAAAACAGAGCAGGGCTAATAATGCTCTGACAAAACAGACAAATAAAAAATGTACCAACATCAACTTAAGGCAAGCAAATAGAACAGGAAGGGAGGGAAGTGAGCAGGCCTGGGCTAGGCCTCCCTGTGCCTCTACCCCAACTCACCGGCAACAATGAAAGACCATTTTTCAGGCCTTTCTGTTACATTTCTAAACCATTCATGTTCTTTCAATTTCCCTTTGAGACATACAGATTGGGTGGAGAAGTCTTCAAAAACGAGAAATTAGGCGGCGCCTGGGTGGCTCAGATGGTTAAGCGTCTGCCTTCGGCTCAGGTCATGATCCCAGGGTCCTGGGATCGAGTCCCACATCGGGCTCCCTGCTAGGCGGGGAGCCTGCTTCTCCCTCTGCCTCTGCGTCTCTCTCTAACTCTGACTTTCATGAATAAATAAATAAAACATTAAAAAAAAAAAAACAAAATGAGAAATTGGGTATATATGTTTAATTAAAAGTTCTTTTGAAGAGAGACCATTTTTATCTAAAGATTTCTAGTCATCTATCTGTCCTAGTGCAACAAAACGTAGTGGGTGGACCAGTTAGGGAGAGCCTGAAGAAAAGGGAAGGGGAGTGAGGTTACCTGGGGACAGTTCCTCTCTGGTCCAGGGTTCATTATGTGTCCTTCTAATGGTGTCTTTTGAAATCACAAGATTCAACAAGAAATCACAAGACTCAAGCAAGTGTGTGAAGAAAAGATATTTTTTTCTATACTCCGTGGCTCAAAAAAGACTTTTTTTTTCCTTTTTGAAAAGAGAGATTGTGCATGTGAGGGTGGGGAAGGGCAGAAGGCAAGGGGGAGAAGCTTAAGCAGGCTCTATGCCCAATGTGGGGCTTGACCTCACAACCCTGAGATCATGACCTGAGCTGAAATCAAGAGTTGGACACTTACCTGACTGAGCCACCCAGGTGCCACAAGAGACTTTTAATCTGTATTAAAACCTGGAACCTTAAAATAGTTAGCCGAGAGCCACTGAAAGACCCTACTAAAGTAATACAGTTTACTGGGCAGAATGTGGGGCAGGGATCAGGAGTCTGGACTCCTCTGGGCAGGGTATGGAATTTTCAACACCTGGACACTGCTCGGAGCTTTGTCTCACCCACTTGAGAACTAAGATCGGTCTGGGGCCCAGCAGTGGGGTTGCCCTGTGGCCTTCTGGGGATGCAAGAGTAGAGAAGCAATCAGGTTCTACAATTCAGGCACCAGATTTCAAAAGGGCAACCTTCTCCCCTCCCCCCCCGCCAATAATGAATATTACCAAGTATTCTAAGAATGAAGCATCAGCAGAAACTGAAAAGGGACCTAATTCTGACATCTGTTTTCCTCTTGCAGATGGGCAGGAACGGGGCCAGAGGGCCCTTGCTCTGTGCCTGGGGTACAAATTACTGCCTTCAGAATGGATGATTCTTTCCTGCTTCATTGACTGGATAGTAACAGCCTCTATGGAACCACAGAGAAGTCTAAATTTAACACTGAAATCATAATGAGCTAGCAAAAGAGGAAGTGATGAGTTGATGAGACCCAAGTAGCAGGGGCTAGAAGGTATCTGATGGTGGGGTATTTTATAACTCAGAAGACACCTGGGGTTTCTTTTTTCTGTTTATTTCCTTTTTCCCTGAAATTTGTTGGAATTCTAAACCTGAGAGGCTAGTAGCTATCGAGTCAAGGACAGAGAACTGAAAACAGCCAAGTACATTTCATCACTCAAGCACGGGGGTAAAGAAAACAAAACTAGGCACACAAGGTGATCAGTGTGGCAACTGGATCTTGAGCTGGAGGGAAGGTGAATATAATTGTAAAGAAACAGATTTTGACAGTTCTTTCCAGGAGATTTTGAATTAATGAGAATCTCTTTCACACACTGGAGATTCCTTTAGGACTGACATAAACATCCCCCCCTAGGGCACGTTAGGAGGAGATGGGAAAGGAATCGAGGATATTAGACAAGAAATGGGATTTGTTAATTGGAACGCAAGCATCAGCCCTTTTACAGCATCAATGGCAATGAGTATGGAAGTCTTTGAATACACTAGAAGCTCTGGGGCACTGAGGGGATTTGCAGAGGGGTGGGAATCTGTGGCACCCTGGGGACGGAAAACAGAGAGCAGAGATGAGCAACAACCCAATCCACCTGAGGCCAAGAGCCTATTCCCTTACTGCTTGAGGTTCTCTAAGGATATGGCACTGTCATACAGTAGGAATCACAGAATTATGCCCTTTGTTTGTAAATGAATGGGCCACAAAGTGACTCTTAAAAAGGATGGGATTATGGCAAAAAATGACAGAGAATAATCTTTGCTAGTTCTTCTGTTTTAAGACCACTTCTAGGCAAGGAGCCTGCCAGGGGAGGTGAAGCGGTCAGACTGCCCATCCAAGGATGCAGGAACTCCAAGAAGGGGCCCGAGTCTCCCCTAGTTAACCTCAGGAGCAGCTGCTTGGCACTCCTTTTGACAAAACCGCCCAAAGTCTAGAAATGAGACTCATGGATTATTACTCTAATCTAATACAAATGGTGAGCTCTGTACAGCCAAGACATCAAAAATCTTGAATTCCTTTAAGGTAGTGGTTCTGCTTTAGAGGGCATGAGAATCATCTGGAAGGTCTGTTAAAACACAAATAACCAGGCCTCACCTCTAGAGTTTCTGATTCAGAAGATCTGGGATAGGGCTGGGGAATTTGCATTTCTAGTAAGCTCCCAAGTAATGTTGCTGATGCTGCTGGTCCAGAGCCCACACTCTGAGAACGATTGCCTTAGACTTTTCCTATCTTCATTGAAAAGGATTGCAGAGTAAGTTCCATGACACATCAAGGAGGGAGGGACATTATTATAAGCATCTGTCAACAGCCTCAAGTTCAGTGAATTTGGGCAGAACTCACAACTGACACCTTCCCCATGCACTTGGGTCTTTTAGGGGAAATATGAACACACCCTAATGAAAACGGGTGAGGCTGAGTTCTTTACATGTTTGGTTTTTGAGTTATGACTGGCAGGGAGAGAGTCCTAGTGGATGTGACATCTACAAGTTGTAAGGAATGAGAATGAGATCAGGGCAGAGGTCACGTTTTGGGGGGAGGTGGACAGAGAGAGAGAGAGAGAATGAGAATGAGTGCATGTGTGTTACTATCAGATGACTAAACAGTATTAGAGGGACCAGGATGCAGATGTGATATGGATGGGTAAGGGCAGGTGAACTTTCATTATAAAAAATTAAAATAATCCGGGGAAACAAAGGCTCTCTCAAATCTCCGTCTCGACAGTGTGGAGGATCCAGCATGCTGCTCTCGTATGAGCTGGAAAAGGGCCTGTGCTTTTGCCATTTGGTTATCAGGTTGATTTCTTCTTGTTGTTTGTGAGCAGGGACTGGGGACAGCGGGTGGGGAGAGGGGGTCAGCAGGGTTAGTGTCAGCAACAGACGCTGCTATACATACCACCCAGATGCAAGTCGATGAGGCCACTGTAATAAGACTCTCCCCAATAGTCTACAACAAGGAATTGGTGAAGAGAGAGTTATTGGATCAGATAACCCTCTTGTGCCCGCAGACCCAAAGCAATCAATGACATAAAGCATAAGGAACACAGAGATATAGCAAGAGGGTGAGGAGAAACAGTTGAAAAGCATGCATCTCTCTGGAAGTGCATTATCTATACACACACGTGCTGCAGCTATATACTTTCTGGTGGTGGAAGGGAGAGCTCACTCAAAACCACCCGTGATACAGTTAATAGCCAATTAACCATGGGACTGCTGTTCATACCTCTGATCAGTTACGACAGGATAGAAGGCCTTGGCTTTCCTGGGAGTCCTGACCCTGCCGGAAGTCAACTGTATCTAACTAAGATTTTTTAAAAATGCAAGGGCAGATCAGGGGCTACTTACTACCTTTGTTACTGAATATTAGAAGCCCCAGGCTGAGGGTCTGAAGGCAAGATGTGAACATTCTAAAAAAGCTCTGCAAGGCCACCAACCCTTAGGTTGAAAGGCAGTCCGAGCTCTCCCAAGAATTCACCTGTGACCCCCTGCTTGAGCATATCAAACTCCTTGCAGAACTGCTTTCACGGGATAGGTTTCAGATGAAGGGGATCCTGTTTCTTCTGAGGTTGGGCCCCAACTTCAGCCAGGCTTCTCTTTAAAAGCAGAGTCACTATTTGCCCTAAGGCTCTTGGAGGTCTGCCAGCCTCAGGCACTCCTTTGCCTTTCAGCTCCACGAGGCTGTCCAGCAAGGAGGTTGCATTCTTCGCATGCCTGAGATGCAGAGCCTGGGCACTGCTGAGGGGCTGGGCTTGGTCGGGCAGTTCTCATCCTCCCAGAATCATAAATGCATAGTACAACAAAAGTCAGCTGTACCTTGTTACCCTTTGCCTCCAGATCTCTCAAGCTGCATGCTGATCCTGGTGGCCTTTTGCTCCACACGAGGGTTCCCCCTTTAAGAATGGCCGTACCAGAAAGTAGAATGTAATCCTGGAATAGTTTTTCAACTCATGCTCAAGGCTGATGCAGCGGATAAAATTTGCACCATGGTTCCAGAAACAAAAAGGGCTTCTCAGGTGCTCTAGACTAGAAATCACATCTGCCCTAGGCTTGCAGGCTCTGAATCTAACCCTTATGGTCCAGATATACATGAGCCTTAGACAAATCGAGATCAATAAGATGGCAGGGCCATATCAGATCTCGTCTGCAAGGGCAGCCTGCTAACAGGCTGACCCCTCAGAGAGCTATGGAAGCTTGGGCCCATCGGGTGAGGCAGGATGACAGGTTCAGTCAGCTGTGCCCCCTCAGAGAAGGGGCCAGCTAGCATGGCTGGAAGATTCCAAACTGCCACGCTCAGCTGAGATTATCTCCTTAAGGACTCAGCCAGGAGCAACCAGACTAACAAGAGGAACAGAACGCAGAAGCAGGAGAGAAAGGACAGCCAATGGTCACAGTTCAGCCTCAAAGATGATCTCTGCCAAGTAGCCAGGGCCAACTGGGACTTCTGACAAGAGGCGAGCCTTAGAAGTGATGTGCTTAAAATAAGAAAAGGAAGGGGCGCCTGGGTGGCTCAGTTGGTTAAGCGACTGCCTTTGACTCGGGTCATGGTCCTGGAGTCCTGGGATCGAGTCCCGCATCGGGCTCCCTGCTCAGCAGGGAGTCTGCTTCTCCCTCTGACCCTCCTCCCTCTCATGCTCTCTATCTCTCATTTTCTCTGTCTCAAATAAATAAATAAAATCTTAAAAAAAAAAAAATAAGAAAAGGAAAATAGTATGTTTGGAAATATATTCTTATGATAGGAGCTACTATACCCTGAGAATTTCCCAAATGCATCATGGGGAAATCTAATGGAGCTACCAAAGTCTGTCTTTAAAAACAGGACAAATCTGTATTTGGGTGAAGGTGTTTTGATAAAGCTTTGCTTACCAGAGTTTGGACTAGAACAGTGGTTTTCAAACCGTTCTGTGAGACCCTAGGGTTCTTTGAGCAGTATTCCCTGGTCTCCCAACTACCTGATTCACAAATACTTGGAACTCCTTTAAAGCTTACACAAGACACACTACATTCAGAAGTCTGATATGCCGATGTTAACCCACTGAGGACCATCAACACATCCATCTGTGCTGTCAGGTAAGCTTGTTTTTGTGAGGCTCTCAGGACCAAGTTTCTTATGCCATGTGCAAGTATCTGCACTCCCTGAAAATGTGCTAGGGAAGAGGCTATCTTACGTATTTACTTAAATTCTGGCTTCCAAGGAGAGTGGTCGCGAAGAGCTGTACAGGAGAGCACCCTGGGGGGGCCATCACTCAGGGAGACCCAGCCTGTCAGAGTAGTTCCTGTCACAGTGCAGGCCTTGAGGAGGGTAACATTCAGGCCATGATGCCACAGCAGAGCTGGCTTTTGTATTTACTGCATGCTTGGGAGTCTTTCTCTGAGATCTACTCTTTTTTTTTTTTTTTTTTTTAAAGATTTTATTTATTTATTTGAGAGAGAGAGAATGAGAGAGAGAGAGAGCACATGAGGGGGGGAGGGTCAGAGGACGAAGCAGACTCCCCGCCAAGCAGGGAGCCCGATGAGGGACTCGATCCAGGGACTCCAGGATCATGACCTGAGCCAAAGGCAGTTGCTCAACCAACTGAGCCACCCAGGCGCCCCGAGATCTACTCTTTATAAGGAACTTGCACTGCTGCTAGATTTAGTAGTGATGCTACTGTGTAAACAATTCCTACTGCTCCCACCTTTGGCTTCTTCTGGGACGGAGGTAATTTAAACTGCATGGATCCTGAGATTTCTGAGAGAACTATTAAAACACGGTTGCCATTTCTGGCAATTCCCTCTCTGTGTCAGGATGTTCTCTACACTGGGACCCAGGGATGGACTAGAGGCTGAGGCCTATTATCACTTGCAGTTCTCTACTGTAACCTGTATTTCCAAATTGGTGGTTATCAACATTCTAGAGTGGTTCTTTTTGATTTGAATTTAAACTTATAATTTGGCTTGTATGAAGGGTTCTGCTGCTAAGAAACAAGTTTGAAAACCACTGACTTAGATGAAATCCTGGTTGTATACTTTTATGGAAAGGTAATTACCTAAGCAACTAGAAAGGGGAATTTTGGCAATCTCGCACACCAATCTTCAAGGGCAGAGTTTCTATGACCCCTGGCAGTCAGCAGCTTGAATAACATGGCCTGTTCTAGAAATACTGAAGCAACGCCACAGTCTCGAACTGCATGGCATCCAACAGGTACACAAGTACTATGCGGAAACCATAACCCTGGGGCGGCCCACCTGAACCTCGGAACCCTGTAAGGAGGAGACGCAGACTATCTTCCTTGAGGACTCAGGCTAACAATGAAATGGAGGTACACAAGCCTATTGAGTTATTCTGACTATGTGTTGGAAGATCTATCCCTCATTTTCCATCTTGGCAGAAGTAATCTGTGGGGAAGGATAAGAAGGCTCCCTCCTGACATCAGCAAGAAGAGAAAGCAACGAGGGAAGGGCCCTGTGAGTCCTGTTACAGCTGGGCAGGGCATCCCTGCTTGGCTTAGGCTAACTCCTTCTGGATGGTCAGGCTTAACTCAGGAGGCCAAGGAAGCACATGCAGGGCGGGAAGCCAAAACAAGGATGGTGGGGGACATCACAGCTTCTTTTGGAAGCCTGGAGATCCTCCGAGGTGAATCCGAATCTCCACTCATTGACATGGGCCAGTGCTTGACTCGCAGTCACACGTCCCAGGCTTCTGGCTTACAGGCTGCTCAGTGGTTCGACTTTTTGCATCTCCTTTGGTGGCCCAGGCTTCAAGCAGTAACTCCAGCATCAGGTAAGGCACAAAACCAAGAACATCACATCCTCATCCTTCTCATCCCATCTCTTCACCTGAAGGTCATCACTGAGTCGACTGTTCAGCTGCAATATCTAGGCCTTGAAGGGCCCGGAAAGATCTTCTTCTATGCCTGAGCCCTGACTCCCCCCAAATGAACTTAGAGCCTGCAGAACCCTACGAATTCATCTTGACATCAGGCACATTCTGTGAGGTCAGCTCAGTAAGATCCGATGGCAGCAATTGGCCCCATTCCTGGCTGCCTCTTACTGGTTCTTCTTCAGTTTACAGAGAGCCTGCCTGCCAGGAGATGTAGCCACCCTGTCCCTCTGCCATGCTAGAATAAGGAATAAGGGGTTACTGCAAAGTTAAGTCACCTCCTTTCTTCATCCCCAGCCTCACAACTTGAACGCTGACCCTGGAGGCCTGTGCTCTCTACAAAGACATGGAGGTTTCCCCATCCAGAGGCTGGACTGAGACTCATGGACTCTTGAGAAAGCAGAGATCAGTCACTCCATGCCTGAGTTGGGCCTCTAGTTGGGGCTGGCCCAGTGATTTGAAGGTCCTTAACCAACAGGGCTTCTTCCTGGCCCTTGGGACCAGGGATGGCTCAGGTACTTCCTTGCTTCCTGTGTGCCCCACTGGGCTGAACCCACCTCGCAGGCTCCTTGGATGAACAGTGGGGGTGACTGCACTATGTTCCACAGCTCTTCCCTGGACATGGCAGCCACTGAGCGTACGGCCCTCACAGCCATTCCCGTGTCTACCTTGTGCTGGCTCACCACCATCCCCCGAGCCTGTCCACCCTGCCCCGAGTGACCAGTCTCTGGGAGACACAGAGCCCAGGTTCACACTGGAGGAATGGTGAGGGCTCTGTGGGGCATGTGTCCTCCCATTCTCTGTGTGGTCAGAGCAGGAGAGGGAGCCCACAAAGCTAAACACTGGAGGTGGCAGGTGGGGAGCAGGCTGGGGGCCCCGCTCGTGCAGTTCTGTGATGGCTCCTTGTGGTATAGTGTCCCTCATTCCCAGCTATTTTCTTCTAGAGGAAACGAAGCAGGGGAGGGGGAAAGGAGGAAGAAGAGAGGAGGAGGCCCAGTGCTTGCCATCAATACATGAAGTGGACTGAGAGTTCGTTCTACAGATAAATGGCAAATCCTCCGAGAGGGTGGAAGAACAAGCCCAGGTCTTGGGGCAGTCCCAAACAGAGATGCTTTTCTTTTCCTTTGCTTAATAGGAAGCCCCAAACTCGGTGATGAAGGGCCCCAGAGAACCCTGCTGGAAAAGCAGCTGAATTCCACCTGAGGTGACACAAAACTAGCCTATCATGGGTGGTGGGGGCAGGGGCTTTCCTTTAGGAACAAACCTCCTCACAAAGGAGACCCAGACAATACCTGCTTCACCACGGAGCGCCTTCTCCACGGCAACCCCTCGTTCCTCCAGTTGCCTCTGCTTCTCCTCCACCTGCTCCAGCTGCCGCTGGATAATCTACAGGAAAACAGAACAGCGTGAGCACCTGACTTTCTCTCTCGTCTCCTAGCTTTCAGGAGGACAACTAAACTGTACAAACACAAACAGGGAGAAAAACAAATTAGGTCTGAAAGCTGGAAAGGCTTTTGTCCACGGGCATTAAGCCCGGAGTGGGGTGTAAAGACCACCCGCATCGAATCCCCCAGGGCCTGTCGTTAGTAAGCAGCATAGCTTACTTGTCCAGCCCTCGGCAGGGCAGCTCAGACACAGGAAGTGACGTCAGCTCCTGCAGCAAGGCCTGAGGTACTGCATCCTAAGTAAGACCCTGCCAACAGTGAGGTTGCTAAAACCCTAGCAGGGGTTCTTGGAGGGTACTGCCGAAATCCTGCCTCTAGAAGATTAAAAAAAAAAAAAAAAAAAAAATTCTAGAATGGAGCAATGCACTAGAATCTTTTTGGAAGCGTATAGTGAGAAGTTTCTCTGTGCTACGTGGGGACTAATCATGGATACCAGAAGGACATTCAACCCCCAAAGCAGCAGCCCATGACATATATCTGGAAAATGGCACACAGAAAACGAAATAAAATCCAAGGATCCAATCATTGCAGAGAATGTGGATACAGAATAATGTTCAAGAAAAGGACTAAAAGATTGGTGGTTTTTGATGCTTGCTAAAATTGAAATTCAGCGGCATAACTTGGTATTTGGGTTTGCTGTTAATGCTTCTCATTGTTTATATCTTTTGATTAGTGTACTAATATGAATACAACTCTACATGCACAATTTCATTATAAAAACATATTGTATTTAGATATCTTTTAATACTTTATATAAAGAAATGATTTTTTGTTCCAGAAAGAAAATCTGGAATGGTCTAGGATCTGTGAGGCCTGAAGATAGAGGCTGATGCCTGGAGGACAGCTCTGACCTGGAAATCCCAGGCCCACCAGAGGCTGACGGGTCACAGATGGCCTCTCGATGACAGTCCTCACAACTGAACTAGTTGACTTTACAATGATTATTCCACAGCAAAGAATTTAGGGAACTCAAAGCCCAGCTCTTCCTTTCTACCAGGAACTCCATAAAAACAAGGCTTCTGCAGTTGCATCAAGCCAGAGGCTTGTGGCCTGACATGTTGGGGCCATCCTCTCAGGTATCAGGGACACCCCGTCTACCTCTGCTCTGTCCTCTCTACCCTCCCGCGTCGTGGACAAGGACAAGCATGTCGGAGAGGAGGGGGCTCTTTCCCACTTAGGAGCTGTGGCCCCTTCAGGGATTTTACCTGGGCTCGGTGTAGCCGCTTCAGTTCCTCTTGCTTGGCCTGTCTCCGAGCTGCCTTCTGCACACGCCGGGTCAGCTTGGCGTTCAGTTCCTCCTCTGTGTAAGTTCTTGGCTGCAGAGAATGAGAGAAATTCCCTCAGTCAGATGCCGCAGGCCTGGGCACAGAGAGCACTTCCCCTAGGTCGGAGCTGCCCTTCTGCAGAGTGCCTGCAGGGTAGACGCCCAAGCTGCGGCTCGGCCAGAGGCTTCACTGACACTCGTCCTTGCTGGAGCCCTAACTGCTACAGGGTACAGCTGAAGCTCTACAAATGAGATACTTCCCCACTGTGACAGGGACAGGAGGCTGAGTGGGGACTGACCGTTAGAAAGTTAAAAGGACCAAGGGTGATATGCTCCTTTATCACAGAGATCACCTGTTTCCCACGGAAGGATGTCTGCTCTTTTTAAGACTTTCTGGAGGTAAAAGCATGATAATTAGTTCCCCCAAGCCTCCTGCTTCTAGAAGGGCACTGCAGAAATGTATGCCTGTACAGGGGAAGGAAAAAGAAAAATCGAGATCCTTTTATTTTCTTGTTTAGTATCAAACGCCACTTCCTTCAGATGAATATTTATAAGGTTCTCTTAAGAAGTAACATCTAGGGGCGCCTGGGTGGCTCAGTTGGTTAAGCGACTGCCTTCAGCTCAGGTCATGATCCCAGGGTCCTGGGATCAAGTCCCGCATCGGGCTCCCTGCTCTGCGGGGAGCCTGCTTCTCCCTCTCCCACTCCCCCTGCTTGTGTTCCCTCTCTCGCTGTGTCTCTCTCTGTCAAATAAATAAATAAAATCTTTAAAAAAAAAAAAAAAAAAAAGAAGTAACATCTAAAGTAGAGAAAATGGGGATGCTTCTATTTTTAAGTGTGAGTGAACCCCAAACTAACTAATGCAGTCTGAAGAAGGGAGATACAGAGGCGAGCCCGGACTGCCCCCAGGGTCTGCACAGAGGCAGCAGTCGGCCACTGAGAGGGACGGGGAGGCAGTCCGGCAGGGCGGTTTCAGCCACTGCTACCAAGCCCTAAGGAGGCAAGAGGCCAGATGCAGGGCAAATCCATGGACACAAGTGCCTGAGCAACTCCACCTGCAAATGTGGGCATCGAGGGTGCAAGGCAGTGTCAGACGCCTTGTGTAAACAGTGAGCAACCACCAAGAGGCAAATGCTGAGGGGTTTGCCGCTATTCTTAACATCTTCTTTATTTCCTCCAAGGAAAACAAAGAGAGACTTTGACAGACTTTAAAAGAGACTTCCAAATTCAACTCAGGAGTATAGTCTAATAATCTTTATTTTAAGAGCTCAAGGACAGTGGAGGGCCAACTGAGCAGGTAAGTCCTTATGGAACATCGTGGTGTTCTAGCACCCTAAGCATTTCACCTTGCAGGTCGTGGAGCTGAGGGCTCGTGAATTCCCCATTCCTGTGGTGCCCAGTCCCATAGGGGCAGCCCTGGAGTGAAATTACCACTGCCACATGCACTCCAGCCAGTTAAGAGCAGGGCATCTCCCCTTCCTCCACCATGACACAGCTAGAGAGAGTTCTGGGGCCCGTGTTCACTACTGCTCCATGCATGTGTGAACAGTTAGTGAGGATGTGGCTGGAGGGCCAGGGCTAGAGGCTGCCCCGGGTGGTTAATCACAGACATGCATGCAACAATGACCAGCCATGGGAATGAGACACTACCTTTGATGCATATGATCTCCTGAACGCCAAGGCGTGTGGTACATAAATCAACTTTTAAGGGGATGGCAACAGAAAACAAAATAGTAATAATAACAATTAAAAAATTAAAAACAGAACACAGAAATGGAGCAAAATCAGTTAGAAGTTTAAAACAAACACATAAGACTAAAGACTAAAACACATGATTATTTTTCATAATGTCACACAGGACTGAGTAAGTGAGGAACCTGGGGATACAGATCCTAGCAGCAGAGTCTCAGTGAACCCTGTTTTGAATAAGGACTGGGTTCACTTTTTTACCTAGAAGACAGCTTCTTCCTCACTATGCCCCAGATCTTCTTTCTTCTCTTTTCACTCTCCCTTGTGTATAATAAACTAAAGCTGTCTAAATACACGGTTATAGATGCCATTTCTCCTTCAGTAACCCATTTGTTTGTGAAAATTCAGACTACTTCTTTCAGCTCAGTGGGGGGCAGGCACTGGTGGTGGGAAATTCCTGTTGCCAGGGACACAGAGACACAGACACAGAGCAAACTGAGTATCAGACCTAATGTTCTCTTCCAAAAGGCTCTCTCCTGGCAGTGTGGGCCAGGTGGGTTCCTAGTGGGCCACCCAGAAATCCTGGATGGGGGCGGGGGCCATTTCTTGATTATGCACAGTGAAAGGGTGCCTAAAATAGCATAAGTAACTGATATTCACCAAAAATACTTCAGGCACATATGTCTTCCCTCAGACTGACTCATCTCTCCCACAAACCAGAGAGGATGAATCTCAGTATTAGAACAAATCAGCTAAAAAACAGAAGATAGACGGTTTCCCCAAGCAGCATGTGAACCACTCCATAGGAACTACGTAACCACACCTAAGGAGTAGCACTTAACGTCTGCACCTGCGGCTGCTGTAAAAAGTAAAGGGAGTGGGGGCAGTCACTGACTGACTTCTGGCGGGGGCAGGAGGGGGGGGTCAGGTACCACCTTGGCAGAGGCAGCGACTCGAGGGGAGAAATCATGAAGCGTGTGTGGTGTGTTGAGAGAACGAGGCCAGCCAGAGCCGCTGCTTCTGCTGTGACATGGGGACCAGGGTCTGTCCCACAGCCTCTGCACACGCCCATGGCTGGGCCACAGAGGTTAGGACGCAGTGCATCACTTATATTTAAAGTCAGGCTCAGGGCGCCTGGGTGGCTCAGTTGGTTAAGCGACTGCCTTCGGCTCAGGTCATGATCCTGGAGTCCCAGGATCGAGTCCCGCATCGGGCTCCCTGCTCAGCAGGGAGTCTGCTTCTCCCTCTGGCCTTCCTCCCTCTCATGCTCTCTGTCTCTCATTCTCTCTCTCTCAAATAAATAAATAAAATCTTTAAAAAAAAATAAATAAATAAAGTCAGGCTCAGGCAAAGAAAAGAGGCGAATGTGAATTATCTTTTGTTGGTAGGGTTACAGGTGATATTATAGATTTAGTCTGTATTATCTTAATTTTTCTAAGTAAACATTTTAAATAAAAATAAGTTATTTTCAATTTTAAGTGTTTTTTTGTTGTTTGTTCTTTATTTTATTTTTGTGTATTTGTTTATTTTTATTGTGTTATGTTAGTCACCATACACGTTGTAATGAGCACTGGGTGTTATACGCAAATAATGAATCATTGAATACTACATCAAAAACTAATGATGTGCTGTATGGTGGTTTTTTGGTTTTTGTTTTTAAATGAAACAAAACTCAGGCACTTGTTTCACAGATGCCTGACTCAGAGACGGGTCTGTGATGCAAGAGGAACCGTTTCTTCCAGCCACTAGAGATGCTCCCTCCTGACCCCACTGTCCCTTTGTGTCCCACCTTCCTGCTCTGAAAATTTTCAAACCTAGGAAAAGTTGGAAGAGAACAATGAACACCTTTGCCTAGATTTGCTAAATGTTAGAATTTTGCTACATATTTGATATATAATCCTTATATATCATCTTTTTTTTTTTTCTGAAAAAAACCCACACCATGGTAAGATTCAGGTCAACATGTCCTAGGCTCAGCTTTGTCTTTCGTATTCCCTGCTCAGCCTCCAGCAAATGGCTCTGCCTCTGTAGGGACACACACGGAATGTGAAGCCCCCCACGCCTCTGATTCTGGGATTCTAGGAGTGGGGGCCATGACTTGTTGGTCACGTAGAAGGGGAAGAGCTCCCTATGTGCCTCAGGTCAGCAGGGCCCCAGGGGAGGCTGCCCTCAGTGACACATATTGCTGAGAAGAAAGCCTTGGCATGGCCAGCTTGGGCAGCCTGCCATTCCACGTTCTGCCAGGATGTTTCATTAATTGGGAAACAGTGGAGAGACTGACCACAAAAGCAACCACAGATGGGAGTTTCTGACCAACAGGAGATGAACCGGCTGAACATCTGCATATCTACATGGAAGCAAAGTGGAACCCTGGACCACATTCTCCTTCACAGACCACCCCCCTCTCCGTGAACCCCCTAAGGCTGTGCCAGTCCCCACTCTCAGCACATGTTGAGGGACCCAGGTACATATCCAGAAGCAGTTCTTAGTCCCAATGTCATACCATTGTGCTGCCTGGCAAAGCACAATGGGGAGCACTTGATAGGAGACCCATGAAGCCAGGCTCCTGGGGGAGAGCCAGCACACAGGGTCCCAACCCTAACTCAGTGCTGGCCTGGCCAGGACAGGTGGGAGTTGGCTCTGTACATGGCAGGGAGGGATCAGAGGCCTGACTGGTCAGGTGTCTTTCTAGGAGAGTGGACAGGTAAATAGCTGGTATGGCCATGGGAGGCCAACAGACCAAGAATGAGAGGAGAACTAAAAGATGGGTTTCCTCCAGTGTGCCAAGTTGTTAAAAGCTGGACTGGGCTGCGAGGAGGGGACTGGCCACAGCTACAGAAGCCATCTTTACTGACCAGACACAGGTGAGGCTCAGGTCTGCTGTGGCAACTCCCTGGAAGCCTACAGAGGCAGACTCAAATGCGAGCCTTGGAGAGCCTTGTAAAGGTATATGACCTTCTGGGGACATCTGTCATTCAGAAAAGGGAGCTGAAGATAGCTGGGCTGTTGCCTGGGACAGGAGGCTGAGTGTGTGTCCCAGGCCAGACAACAGAGATGGTGCAGCTTCAACTGTCCCTATGTGCTGCCCAGGCCTTTCTGGATTGTCGTCCTCACCCCATCACTGTCTCCGTGATGCCGATGCCCTGTTACTTTCTCTAATCCCTCTCCCTCCTCCAACTTCACTGTATCTACACAGAGCTACAAGAGCCCTTGGAAATCAGAAGACTGAATAAATATCCAAGAGCCCTCCACATTGCGGGTTAGCTTTCAGGAGAGGTGAGTGGCCACCCCAGCTCCTAAGCCCGGGGCAGTAAGAGGGACCAAGTCAGATCCATAGTGCCCTACTCAGCACAGAATCCAGGTCAGTTTTCTGGACTGGTTCTTTAATAGCAAAAATTACTCTTTAATCCATAAACGTACAAAGCACGCAGGATGACAGGGCACATTCCTTAGTGACTCAGCCTCCACCTACTGCCTAAACCCATAGTCCCCGTCCCAACCTCCACCAGACTCTGGGGCACAGACAACCCTTCTCCTGTCACTCTGGACACTGGCGGATGCTATTCCACATGGGAATTCTGAGGACAAAAGAATGAATGGACAAAGCCAGCGGCTTGGAAAAATCGAGTGAATCTTTGAGGACGAAACACAGGAACACTTGCCACTGAAACAAGCCCCAGCTGTTCCCTAGAAAAAAAGCCCAAGAAAAGAACTCCCTTTATGCCTCTCTTACTTGGGCCTGGGCTGGGCTCAGGATTCAGCTGTGGGCTGCCGGGAGATCAGAGGAGGGCCCCACTTTCCACCCCGGGCTGGAGATTTGCTTTCCTTCTTCCACCTCAGCAAAGACCAATACTACACAGAGGTTTTGGGCTGGGCTTGACCCCTACGTACCTCTCGCCTGGACTTCTGGGAAGACCTCTCAAGGATGTCGTCACTGGAGAGGTCTGAGTCCTCCGAGAAGCTCAACTGGCGCCGCAGCTGCAGCTCTAAGGGGATGGAAAGAGGCAAACCGAGGACACCACGGTGCTTTCCTGGTTCCTACATGCACACACGCCGCCAGGGGAGTCGGGGAGAGGCTGGACTTCTTGGCAGTTTGAGGGGCTCTAACCCATGTGGGGGAGCCAGGAGCTTGAAGGCTGACACCTGTGCCGGCCGGGGCAGTGTGAACACTAAATAGACGGCATCCGACGACAGCCCGCCTGGCGCCTTCCCTGGGGTGCTGATCTCCGCCTTGCTCAGAATCAGGCCCTGTCCTGGGGCTGTGTGACTTGAGGAAGTGCACACACCTCCCAAGTCTTACGAGTAAGCTGGGTTTTAGAATTAGTCTATCACCTGGAATATGCTCTGTGAGCCCGTGGTTCTGCTTCCTTCTTCCTTACCCCATTAGCATAGCTCCTAAGAACCCTCGGGGAAGCAGCAGGAGAAATGGATCTTTTGAGGAGAACCAATGGCTGGACGACACACCCCTTATGCCCTGCCGCAGGAGGAATCCCCTGGTGCTGACATACCTGCTCTCACAATGGGAGACATCCTGTGCTTGCCCGAGTCCACAGTGGCACCACTGGAAGGGGTGCTGGAACAGGACTTGTCATCGCCCTTCTTCTTCTTGTCCTTCTTGTACCCAGAAAAGACGGACTTCCACAAGGACTTGGGCTTGGCAGCGGCTTCCTCCAGGAGGTCTGGGCTGGGCTTCTCTGGAGGCCGGCCCTCGCCTTTGGACTTCTTCTCTTTCTTGTTTCTGCGGGGGGAGAAGAGTGACGATCTCTTCTTGCTCTTCCCACTGGAGCCCTCAGATGAGGTGACCGAACCATCGGGGCCCCCTGAGTCCGACGGAGGGGAGAGGACCTCCTCACTAGTGGCTTCGTGCTTCAGGGTAGGCTCCCTGGGGCCTTTGAGAACGGGGCGTTTAGGGGACTCGGGGCCGAGGTCTTTGCCCTTGGAGGCAACTGAGGAGGCTTTGCGGGAGGTGCCTCCTGGGGGCCTGGAGGTCCCAGCTGCCATCTCCATCTCCTTCATCCTACTCAGCTGCTTGGCCATAGCGTCTCTCAATGCCTGGCTCTTCACAGACTTCTCCCTGGCTCGCATGCGCTCCTCAGCCAGCTCCTTGGCTTCTGGAGAGACCACGGGCAGGCCCCTCTTCTGTGGTTGGACCCCACTCTCCAGAGTAGGCAACCTACCATTCTCCTTGGCTAGGGGTGGGTGGAGGGACCTCTCTGTGTGGGGCCAGTGGGAGGGGGGTGTGAAGAACTTCTCCTGTAGACTCGCATCCTCTGTCTTGTCATCATAGGTATCCTCCACGTCATCGGCAAAGGGGATCTCATCCACACTCTCCACAAACGACTTCCGCAAGTCCTCTCGAGGGGGCTGGGCAGGCTCTCGGGGGGCCCGCATAAAGGAGGCAGGTGGTGGGGGTGGGATCACCGAGGCCTTGGGCTTGGTCTCCTTATGCTCATAAATCTGATATGGCTTCCTTCGAAGAGTTGCAGGCTCCTCATCCTGGGGTGGGGGTGGAGGTGGGCTTGAAGGTGGAGTGAGCATGGTGGAGTCTGAGGTGTTGAAGCTCTGGCTGCCCAAGGTTTTCATGTTGGAGGAGCTCCCATGAAGGCCCAGCCCAGAGCTGCTCGACAGATCTCTTCTCTCCTCATGGGAGCTTTTCAGCTCTCTGTCAGATGGGGACTTGGGGGTCGGCAGGGAGGGCTGGTCACCATCCGACTTCGGCAGGCCTAGTCTCTTAGGAACAGGTGGAGGTTTTAGAAGCTGGAGCCCCTCACCCTGAGGAGACTTCTCAACTGAAAAGGATTTTAGGGACACTGGTTTAAAGGCAGGTGAGGGGAAGCTGGACTCGGACACCTTGCTCCGATCCACAGGTGTGAGCCCGAGGCTGCGGCGGATCTCGGCGCTCTTCATCCAGAACTCTGCCACCAGATCGTTCCGTTTCAGGGCCTCATCCACAGCGAGAGGGCTGCCCAGTCTATCCTTGGTGTCCCTTTGGTTCTTCAAGGGGAGGGGAACCACGGGGATGGATGTTTTGGCTGGAACAGGCTGGAAGCATATGGGGGACTTGGTGGGGGATGGGATAGTGGCCTCAGAGGAAGGCTGAGGCTGGGAGCAAATGGGGAGCTGGGTGGTGGTGGGGGTGGAGGTGGCCAACGGTGACAGGTGCTGTGAACTAACTGGGGAGGTAGGTGTCCTGGCTTCCGGCAGAGCCACTGGCTGCGATCGGATAGGAGAGCGCACAGCTCTCTGGTCAGTGGGCACTTCTGCTTTGGGCTTCACTTTGGGGAGCAAAGGTTCAGGGAAAAGGCTCTCCTCGGGCAATTTCACTTTGGTAGGAACAGAGACAGGTGGGATTTGGGCTCCCTACAGAAAAGGAAGATAGAAGCTGCTTAGAAGGAAGGGTTCAATGGTCAGAAGAAACCTATTGGGGAGCTCTCTCTCAAAGGGCCTGTGTTTATGAAATAAATTCCTCTCTCTGTCCTTTAGGCTGTCATTCAAATGGCTCCAGGAGAACCTTCCTCACTTTTTGCTCTATTTGTTCAATTTTTAAAGCCACTCTACTTTACTGAACAGACTCAGCTTTCAGCGTTTGGTTCATCTTGAACACACCCTACATTCTTTGTGCACTGAAATGGACACCTGCCCAAAGCACACTAATGGACCCAGCTCTCCTGACTATGGACCCCAAGAGCTCAAGACCTCTGATGTATGAAGACAGGGGCCCATACTGTAAGATTTAAAACAGCTATTTTTTTTTTTACAGTCTATACTACAAATTGCCCTTCCCAGGAAGCTCAAAGATCCAGATATTCCTGCACAAATCCTTATATCACCCCACCCATTAGTCTCAGCAAAGCTCGCCCAATTTCACGAATGAAATCACCAAATTCATCTTGCTTCTTAGAATCTCAAAGACCAAACCAAGCCAACCCAGGTCTTGAGTTTGGCCTCCTTCCCTGATCTGTCCTCCACATAGCATTTCCCAAAACATATTCCATAGGACACACTGTTGCGATCTGTTTACATAGCATTCTTCAATGTGTGGCTCACATACCACTGGTAATCTGGGGGAATATTTTTAATTTTAAAACTCAGTCATACGTTCATTTTAACATAACACTAAGAAACAAACTCATCTGTCATATCAAACAAATGATTCCACAAAAATTATTGCTTTAACTTAAAAATAAATTTACTTTAAAATGGTGTGGCATGACAGCAGAGTGACACAGTGGGGGGATGACTCAGGTCTGGGTACAGGTACAGCTCAGGGTTAGGGCGATGCTGCCTGGACTGCCTTGTCCTCATGGTGAGGACTGAGTTGGATCCCCAAGGCCACTCCTGTTTTCAGCAGCCCCACTTCGCACAAGCAGCAAAAAAATGGGTTCACAGCAAGGGCCCTAAGATGAAGGAATTCATATGTCCACTCAGGGTCCCATCAGTTCTGTCCCCACAGTGATCCCTGAGCCCTTACCTCTGCCACAGGGCTGTGGCCTGGGGAGAGCAGACCGGCTTGCTCCTCAGGAGACGGGGCAGGGCTGGGGACTTGGGCGGGACCTGAACAGAACAGACACAGGCTTTATAAGAGGAAGCACCCCCCCCTTCCCGCTGAGGGTTCCTCTCCCAGCCATCTCTGCAGGGGGGGTTGCTGTTGGCCAGCAGAAAGTGCTTTCCCAGAGTGTCCCTGAATGCCACCTCTGCTCATGTTGGAAGTGCAGACTTTTTTCGCATGTGTGTGATCTGTGTCCAGCTTGGAGATGTACCTCTGACCCTTTCATGGCTCCAGAGCACACACAGAAAGGGCTGTTGGCCGAAGCCGCGTGCAGGGTCCATGCACGGGGAAGGAGGACAGCAAGCAGAGCTGTGTGCCATTGGAGGTGAGCCAGCTCCCTCAGGGGACCTGTGTCCTGGGGGCTGCTCTCGTCCCTGCAGGCTCTCAGTGGGAATTCTGGAAGCAGTTTCTCCTGAGTCAACAGACTTACTTCTCTCCTGGTGCCCTGGTGTGGTGACGGGTTGCTCCTCCTCACTTTCTGATGCCCTCAGCTCTAGCTCCGCTTCCACCACTGCCTGTTGCTGCATGTGAAGCTCCGTTTCGGCTTCTGACGGGATATCATCAGACCAGTGCTGATCTGGCAGAGGGAAGGGAGGGCACAGACCACCCGAGTGAGGCCCTGCTTCTTTTCCAGTCTCCTGCCATCCCCAGAAAGCAGCCAAACCAGCATCTTGAGGTGTAGACCTGTGCCACAGCTGGGCCCTGCCTACTGGTCCCCAGTGAGAGACTTGGCCCAAAGCCCCTTATTCTCTGCAACATGGTGCTCTCATCAAAGCCAAATGCACAAGACGGCACCTGATGGACCAGAACAGAGAGAAACACAGTGCACGTGCCTGTGAAGGGCAGGCCTTGCTTCGTGGACTCACCAATGTTCTGTGTTTCCTGCAACACCACAGCGACTCCGTGCTCCCTCACAGGCTTGTCTGGACTCTTCTCATTTCTTTCAGGCTAGTCCCTGCCCCCTTTTCCCCAACAAGTAGACTGTAATTCTTAAAATACCATCTCCTTGCAGCTACATTTCAGAGGACATCCACTGAATTAGAGGCCCTTGTCTAAAGCACCCAGTCTGCTCAGTTTCTCAACCACAGCTCACTGAACGCAGGCTCTGCTGTCTGCTGGCTTAGGGGTGGAATGACACACATTCAAGTTAGTGCCAGGACAAGGAACGCGAGCAGGGGACCTAATGGCAGCCTCTTCTGAGTGCCTTGCTTTTGCTTTAACGCATATGATCTTTCCTGAGTTGCATTCACACAGTGGGGAAGAGGGCGGTCAGCACAGTGGAGAGGGGAGGCTCTGGGGTCCCCCGTACCATCATCCAGCTCAGCACCAGTGTCCCCTGTGTCCCCATTCTCCGCTGCCTCCCCTTCTATCTCTGCCGGCTCCGAATCCACATCTTCCTCCAGGTCATTCTCATCAAATGGGACTGTAAAGCAGAAAGGTTCAAAGGAAGGAAGAAAAGGACAGACAGATGGACAGAGAGACTGCCTGTGCAGGTGTAAGGGGGCAGTGGTCTTCCCAGGGCTGCAGTGTGAAGACCTCGAGAAGCAGGGAGATGGATTCCGAAGTGTCTGGATTTGGACCCCAAGGCAGACGTCAGCCAGACTTGGGGGAGCTAAAAGCAGTGTGGGTGCTGGCGAAGGCCCAGGGTCCTTCCTGAACACATGGGACTAGCACTGCTCAACTCCAGCAGAGTCAAGTGGAAGAGGGAGAGCAGCATCAGGTCTGCTCATCTCCCCTCCTCCCCCGGGGCTGCCGGAAACTCCTCGGTGTGAGAAGAGGGGAGATGCTGCTTCTCTGGGCCCAGCAGCAACAGCAGCTCTGGGCTGCGTCACATGCCATGAGTCACTGAATCCTCACAACGATTCACTAGAGGGGCTGGGGGAAACCGAGGCCACACGGCTCCATCTAGCAGCTCCGTGCTATGTGTCGGTGAAATCACTGCCATGTGAGGGACCAAGAGGACCCCCGAGGGCACCTCCCTCCCCTTTCAAATGGCAGAGGTTGCAGCTTCGCTTGGGGTAACTCAAGAGAAATGTGTTGTTGTTTTTTAAAGCATGAGGGAGATGGTGAGGGGATATGTAAAGTTCATTTTCTAGACTCAAGAATAGCCCTTCAGTGCTACAGAATGAGGCAAAGCACTTGTCGACTTCATTTTCCTCAGGAGGAACCAGCCCCCAAACATACACACACACACACACACACACACACTCTCTCTCTCTCTCTCATTCAGACCTGTTCCCAACCTCTGCACACCTGGAGCTCACACTAACAGTTTGGAGTAAGAGAAAGCAATTGAGAAAGCAACGCATGCTGCTTTAAAGGATGCCGTGAGATCCCGTGGTCCCCGGGACTGACAGTCCCCGTCGGTCAGGGGTCCTGAGGGCTTCTTCTAGGGTTTGAAGCACAGCCACTCACCAAACAGTCCTAATTGTTCTCACTTCAGGAAAAGGGGTTATGTTTACATTTGCATATCCAAGAGCTGGAGACTCCAAGCCCAAGGGGTCGGGTGGGCAGCAAGGGCACTGGCGGTGGCAGAGCTGGGGAGATTTCTTCAAAGACGGTACCACAAGGAGAGGCCGTGCAAGGACCAGGCCCTCTCAAATCACTGGTCTTCCCATTGTCCAGCCTCTTGAATCTGTACCCCTGCTACGGTGAGCATGTGCACGGTGAGTGCGGACACCAAGGTCTGAGTGTGATAAAAATCAAGTGACTACCTGTGGAGGTGGGGTGGGGAAGACAGGGAAGGGGCACTCTGAAGATGCTGGCTTGACCTAGTCACAGGAGTTTTTGTTAAAAAAAATATATATAATTCCTTGGGGCGCCTGGGTGGCTCAGTCAGTTGAGTGTCTGACTCTTGATTTCGGCTCAGGTCATGATCTCAAGGTGGTGAGATCGAGCCCTGCGTCAGGCTCCACATTGGGCATGGAGCCTGCTTCAGATTCTCTCTCACCCTCTGAACATGCCTCCCCACCCCCGCTTGCTGGCACAGTCGCACACACTCTTTCTCAAAAAAAAAAAAACACAAAAAAACCAACAATAAAAATAATTCCTTAAGCTGTATAATTATCTTACCACCCCCTTTGTCTACTCAGCTTATTAAAAATAAGGTGGTGACTTGCATCTAATTCTGGAGAACCATTCAAAATAGGTTTGGAATGGACTCCGGGGAAAGACGGGTGAGTTCCAGAATAAATCCTAGGCTGGCGAATAGTTAATGTCACACTCCTCCTTTTGAGATACTGTGGAGCTGGTAATGCCAAGATGCTTTCCTGTGATGGTAGCATTTGTGGGGAAAAATACTGGGGGTAAAACTAGTCAATTATTTCCACAGGTTTAAAATCTTTGTGTGGTAATACTGCTGTTTCAGTTCATCATACACCATGAAGTGGGACTTCTGAGGAACACACAAGTCTCTGTGCCTCCTCAGACCTGAGCTTCCTGTCTGGATAACGAGCTCATGGTTTTATGACACCATTTCTGAAGAGGTGGGGACACAGATGCCTCTCTTCCCCCAGCACTTTTCTCCTTTGGCAGTCACCCCAACCCAGGGGAAACAGAACCAGGGCTCATCCCGCTAGGGTCCACTGTGCCCAACACGCATGCCCAAGTAAATCTATGAGTGCCTGGGCATCAAGAAGGTAATTTATACTTCTGTTGGCAAGTGCACCGGATGTGAGCACAAAGGAGACCACAACAGGACTCCCCAGTCTGGCACTGTTCCAGTCACACTGCCCCACGTCAGCCTGATCCCAGCCCCGGTCCCTTGGCCCTCACATGGTTCTCTGACTCAGAGTTGCTATTAAAAAGTGACTATGGACTCTGAGAAACAAACTGAGGGTTCTAGAGAGGAGGGGGTGGGGGGATGGGTTGGCCTGGTGATGGGTATTAAAGAGGGCACGTACTGCATGGAGCACGGGGTGTTATATGCAAACAATGAATCATGGAACACTACATCAAAAACTAATGGTGTAATGTATGGTGATTAACATAACATAATAAAAAAGCAAATTAATTTAAAAAGAAAAGAAATGTCTGTTGTAGAGTCAGAAAGGTACTAAGTCTACAGTCCTTGGGAGTACCTTGAAAGGAACAAGTGTCACATATAGTAAAAAACAAACAAGTGAGAAATATCAATGCAGCAGCAGATACTGGAGAAACGCAGCTTGAGGGATGGAATTGGGAGATTCAACCCAGGTTAAGATGGAGTGCAGAGTGCTAGAAGCTGCCACACACTATGGAAGCTAGGAATCACAGACATACGTAGCTTTTGCTTTATTTCAGCTGCCAGCTGGGAAGTCCTGATACCTCAGCCTCTCCAACCATGGTGGGAGATGTGACTAACTAACTAGGAGGGATGCCCAGCCAGCTAGGGTCTGGCTCCCTGTGGCTCTGTGACTTGTGTGCCTGTGTCCACTCTTCCTGCTGCGAGTGAGGACAATGGGCTGGGCTGGTAAGAGGCTGGTGGTAAAGATCCATGAGCTCCAATCCTACCCATCCCAGAAGCAACCACTAGGACCACAGTTCTCAACCAGGGGGGCAATGCTACTCTTCTTCAAGTGGTATTTGATATTGTGTAGGGCATTTTTTGGTTGTTGCCTGGATGGCTGCGGCAGGAGGTAGAGGCTGCATGGCTGACGTTTCGAGGGCCAAGGCCAAGGAAGTTAAATGTCCTGCAATGCAGAGAACTGTCCTGCCCTCGCTGAGCACTGCTATGGCCCGCGTTGAGAAATACCTCTCCAGAAAAGGTTAGGAAGGACAACCAAGGTTTCTGAGCTATCTCTTGGCCTAAGTATTTAAACAGACCCCGCACCTCAGTATGCAGACCCAGTGGACGCTACGTCTAGTTATACCCAGCCTGTCCCTCTGAGCTGGACAATATCCACCAATCCTCTGTTACCCCCTCTTCACTGAGGAGTCTTCCACAAGTCCCTGAGTACTGAAAGTCTTTTCTGTACTTTGGTGGGTTTGTGGAATATTAACCAATTCCTCTATTTTTATACCCAACTGCTACACAACTTAATTTCTACAGACTTTAAAAATCACTGCTAAAAATGTTCCCTCAGCTTTGGCCTTTACTCAACCTTTAGCAGCAGCAGCAGCAGCAGCAGCAGCAGCAGTAGTAGTAATAATAATAATAATAATAATAATAATAATAATAATAAAAAAAATAAAAAGTTTAGTCAGTTCTGTCTATGCTACTGCCCTCCTCCAGACCTTCCCTGAAGGGCGTGGGGTGCGCATCCGGTCCATGCAAGGATGGGCTGCCTGAATGAGGCATGCATGTGCCCCCCCTCCCAACCCTGGCATGCACTAGCAGCAGGACCAGAATTCTAGTGTTAAGGTATGAGCAGAGCTGCCAAGAGAGAGTGGTTATGGTGAGTGGGGAGAGAACAAACATCACCAGACTACCTCCGGAGACTGTCTCCAGCCAGGCCTGCACGGCTGCGCGGCGTATGGAGGGAAGGTCAGGCACTGAATTTAAAACAGACGATAGGTACAAAGTTACACAGGAATGCGTGCTCCCCGTGAGGAGAGCTGAGGTCATCCTAGAGCCCCGAACAGAAGAGAAACTGAGAGATGTTACAAGCCAGAGGCCTGTCTGGCACCGACAAGGGGTCCCAGTCCCATTGTAACCCAGTCCCATTGTAGGCATTCAGGATGAAAAAAGGAGAGAAAGCATAGGGAGGGTCAACTGCAGCTCAAGGCTGCGGAGCTACCCCATGCTGCAGGCCAGTCCGACATCCCTGTTCAGCAGGGTCTCTCTCCTCACTCCTGCTGACTGTTTATGCTGCTGCAAAAGTAGTTAACAGAGGTTGGTCTTGCCTATAGGTAAAGACTTGGGGCTGGGGAGAACCAGATGTCCCCGTGAAGGGCTAAACTTCATGAAGGCAGGGAGCACCCCCTTTGTCTACTCAGAGCCTTACAGGGTGTGTGGCCCCGTCAGGCACTGAACGGAAGCATGAAGAAAAGTGAGTGAGAGACAGAGGTTGATGACGCCAAGGATCCATATTTGGACAGTGGGTATGCTGAGGTTGGAAGGCGTGGAGAATGGCACGGCAGCAACCACATCCCTCAGCAGTCTCCATTTCCCCCTTTTATTGCTTGCTATTCCTAGAAGAGGTCAGGCTAAAGTTCGTCCTCACCCTACTGTGGAACACAGACCGTCTCACCTGAAACCTAGAGCTGAACATTAGTCTATCTACTCTAAAGGCCTCCTGGATTGAAATCGCTTCTTCAAACTTCATTTCAGTTCAAAATATAGTCCCCCACCCTGTTCTGCCAATGTACATTCACACTCAAGACACACCACACAAGGAAAGCACCAGAACATTTTACCAAGTGGACAGAGGAACCCTGTCTAGTCATATGGGGAAAGAAAGCAAATTCTTGGTTTTCCCAAGGTCAAGTTCATTTTACTAGTTTGCATCCATGGAGAAAGAGCTCACAACCTCTTAACCCATAGAGAACTTTACATATCCTCAAACAATAGCTAAGGGTAGTGGTCACAATTAACATCAGGAAAATAAAATGGATCGTTGGCTTACATTTTGATCAAACTGATGGCTTTGATCCTAACGGAAGAGTTCTCTGCAGCAACGAGAGGGGAAGCAGGGACAGAAGGTGCTCTGAGGGGCATTGGGACCTTGGATCTTGGAACAGTTACCTCTAGAAGTGGAGGACTCAGAGGTTGGTACCATTCGCTCCTCCTCCTCTTTCTCGCGAATATGTGTCCAGTGCACATCAGCCTGGATCTCCAAGGGGTCGGCCGGATTTATGATCTGCTGTAGCCTCTGGCTCCCGACTAGTATACCAGGGTCAGAGGTGGAGGAGAGAAGGAAGGGAGAGATGATGGAGGAAGGAAGCAGAAAATAAACAGTCAAGGAAAGGAGGGGATGAAACACCACAGAAAAGGAAACAGAAAGAAAAGTTACTGTATTTGCCAGGATCAGTTTGAATCAGAAAGAGGCAAAAATTGAGAGTGTAAACACACACACACAACACACACGATTCCCACTTGTTCAGCTTGATTTAGTTGTTTCAAGCTTCACTTATACTGTTAATTTCAACGAAGAGAACCATACATTCCAACTCCAAACAGAAAGAACTCTCCTTTCTGATGCTCTTTTCATCTTATCTGCATTTGAGGGACCCAAATGCCCAGTCAGAAGAAAGAGCAGGTTACAACTGCCGCTGAAGGGCCACCCCTCCAGGTCATGAGTACTCAGCACAGTGCCTACCGCCACCTGTCATGTTGACTGCTTCTCCTCTGAGATTTCAGCCAACTGACAAGAGAGAAGTGGGATGGGGCAGTATCATTCTGTCATGAACCAGCTAACTCATGCAGGATAGAAACTTACTTTGTTGGTACTTTAGTGTTTATCTTTTGCAGCTAGAGAGAGAAAAAAAATCCCCCTTCCATAATAGGTCTCATGCTGCATGCTGGTCTGTGGCAGGGACAGGGCAATGGGGAAAAATGGGAGTTTGGGGAGGCGATGGCTGGGAGAGGAAGCAGAGCTCTATCCTGTAAATTCCCAAAGCTTTGGGGGTTCGTGGGAAGGAATAAAACAATACCTCTTTGCTTTTTCTGAGGTCAAAACCCTTTTCCTTAAAACTCCATTTGGTGCCCCACTGCTCCCCTCTGGACACAAGACCTGCCTTTTTAGCTAAATGAGAACTCACCAGCAGCCCCTTCAAATTATTCCTGCTGCCAGAGCCCAAGGAATATACATGCAGCCCCTGCCCTGTAAGCTCCCTATAATCAGTGCTTGGACCATGCCATACAGTTGGGATAAAATAAAGGAACAGCCAGTGACTTGGAGAGGGGACACTTCGGGAGGGAGGAAGGCTTTTCAGGCAGCAAGAGCAGGTGCCACCTGATCTGAAGGACTCTGGGATTCCTGATGGGAGCCCACTCTCAACAATCTAACTGGACAATTTGACTTTGGCGTCACGATCACACAACCTCTTTTTTTTTTTTTTTTTTTTTTAAACACAACCTCTTGATTTTTAAGCAATGGAGAACGTGATATGGACAGAAAGTACCAGTAAGACCACCAAATGTGGGTGCGGGCACCATGCTGTGTTAAATGTGGGGTGGTAACCCCGCATGCACTCTCTCGTTGGAACTGCTGGTCTCCACAGATTCATTTTCCTAAGGTCAACCGGCTTTTATGGTGTTGGATGGGGCTAAATCCCAGCAAAGTCACCCAACAGCTTGAATGTCATATGACTAAGGAAGGTAAGTCAAAGAGAAAGATGTGGATGCTGTCTTCATCTTCTAAGCAACAAAGAGAAGACAGTGAGTCTTCACCCTCAGATAATGTTCTGCATCCTGTTCATAAATGAAGCCTTGGGGACTTATCAGCCAGCCTGTCCTCCTTTTTCAAAGAAAGGTTACAAGGCACAGTGGAGGGAGGCTCTGGGCACCTCTGCTGGTGACGGTACCCATGCCGCTCCGCCACTTACAGGCGCCGTGACTGCAACCTGAGGTTCTCTGCAGTAGAAGAGGCCAGGTCTTTGCTAGAGCATGGGGCTTGTGGCAAAGCATACAAGGGGCACAGACGGGGCCACATTCAATAAGGCTGCTTCTGGAGTCTTCTCCTCTGACTGCCCCTTGACTCTCCTTTGTCTTACATGCTATTTTGTACATGACCATTCATGAAAGCTGGCCCAGGGACAGGTGCCGAGCTAGGTACGTGCCAAAGCCTGCCAGGGCAGCTTTATAAAGCACAGATCTTTTCATGTGGGACCTGCTCTTGAAGGCAAATTCTGGATGGCTGCTAGGGAGCCAGGGCAGAAGGTGGGCAACGGGCAGAGCGGGTACCTTTACGTGTACCCATAGCTTCTTCCTTTGACAGCTGCTGGAGCCACTGGCCTTGCAGGAGTTCTCTGTCCCAGGGGCAGTACTCCCCTTCTACAGCAGGGGGAGCCAGACACCCACAAACACAGCATCAAGAATCCCACGCGGGGATAAACAGAGAGAAGAGAGAATGGAAGGGAGGAAAGAGAATAGAGAAGAGTTATCTTCAGGTGCAAGGCAAGAACAGCCTGTCACTGTCTACACAGCCATAGAAGTCCACTGCCCAGAAGCTACACACACCACGGGCTAGGAACACAGGCCCAGGGTTGGGCTGAATTTGTCGGTATGTTTCTCCCGTTAAATCCCATCCCTGCAGGCTGGTTCTTGACGCTAGTTCCAGATCCAGGAAATTAAGTCTGTGTGGAGGAAAGCAGGGCTAAACTCTCCCACAAAGGGTACAGACTTTGACTTTAAGCTGTGTCTGGGGCTAAAGCCACCGGACATATGAATCACCAGCTAGAGATAATGACGTCTGAAATGATACAAACAAAATACCTTTCCCCCGATGCACTGTGAGCACGATCGCCCCCCTGACTACATGGACACGGGGGCAGCCCTGAGCCTGAGCCAGCCACAGCAGGATGGAGAACTCAAGCTGACAGCTTCCCGGCCCACGGCCTGCCTCCTTCTTACATGGACCTTACACATTTCTCATCAGAATGAGGAGGGAGGGACAGGCCACCAAGGGCTGCCTCTGTAGGCCTCACCCCAGCCTCCATCTTTGGAGGGAAGAGCGCAGGAGAACTAAGTCTGGAGAAGCCCCTTAGGGGCCTGAGGAGGCTGTGCTTTCCTCTTGCCTGCCCTGCCTCACCAGGGGGAGCTACACAGCTCTCAGGACCGTCTCAGTACCGTGCATCCTGTCTGGGAAGGGCTCTGCATCTGGTCAGCACTCGGGCCTTCCCGTGCCAGGCTGCGGGGATGGGATCTGCGCGGCCAAGCACATGAATTCCGGGAGGGGCAGAGGTAAGCAGGAAGAGCAGCAGAGAAATCTAGTGCCAACTCTACGAGGCCCAGTGCTGTCCTGAATTTAACATGCTCCTCTGACAACGGCTGGGAAGGGCTGGTGCTTTAAAGGCCCATGTCCTTCTCCACTCCATGTGCCCTGGGGAGAGAGCTCGGCCGTGAACTGACATGGCACCGCTGTCAGGGGGACTCAGGTATCTACCTGCCCTAGTTTCTTCCTTACCACCCACCAGACTTCTGTGCAGCCAGGGCAGGGAAAGAATGACCCTCTCTCTTACAGAGGCAAGAAAAGGAGACCCACCAAGTTCTTCCTCATCACTCAAAGACACACACAGCCAGAGACAGGGACAGAACTGAAACATTTCAAGTCAGAGCCAACCAGACTGACTTAGTGCTGGAACAGATGCTCCTTCTAAGGACACTGGTCCAAACACGTTACTACCTGTCATCAACCGAGCCTTGTCTCGTGGGCACCTAGCCCCTCCTCAGTGACTACAGCTCTGAGCAGAGTGAGATTCAGTGCTCTGCAGCCTCCAATATCCTGGACTCTGAGTCAGGGAATCCTCTAGAAAGCTAAATTCCCTTTATTAGAATAAATTTCTTTAACTGAAACTAAGGAAAAAAAGAGAGAAAATGAGGATAGGAGGATGAGTAACCTTATTTGGATGAAGTCCTTCTGCTGACCCTCTGCCTTCCACGTCCAGTTTCTCCTCAGAATGTGCACAAGGGACTCTATTGTCAGTGGCCTCCTCTGCCCCCGAAACTAAGGTCAGAAAGAGGCAGGAGGGATGGTCTCTGGGGCTGTGGGAGGCACATCTGTGTGCCAGACTCCAGCTGTGTGACTCCAGCCACAGAAACCTTACTCAGGCATGGAACAGACTGCCTCTGGGATGGGACAGGGTCAGAGTTAGGAGAAGAGATTTTTTTTTCTGACCTTCACTAGACTCTTCCTCCTCCTCCTCATATTCTTCCTCCTCCTCCTCCTCTTCATACTCTTCCTCCTCCTCCTCTTCATTCCCAGGCCCGTAGCTCTTTGAGGCCTCTAGTTCCTCTTCACTCTTTCCTTTCAGAAGAGCATGGATCCTCACAGCCTCCTTCCAAGGAACGCCACCCAGGTCTGAGGTGGGCAGAGGAGGCTCCTCTTCCTCCTCTTCCTCCATCTCGGACTCAGAACTGCTGTGGGGGAAACAACCACACAACCAAAGTGAGGAGACAGTTAAAAGCCACAACTGGAGGCAAAATGTCCCAGCAAAGCAACTGCTGGGCAGGAAGGGAGAGAGGACAGGCACGGAGGGGTGCAGCGTGCTCCCCCGCCCCGGTAAGACACACGAGGGGAAGGAGAGTGAGTAGAGGGCCAGAGAAAACACACACGTACACGTAACCCCTACATAAAGCCCCATGAGCCAACAGTCCAGTCTGGTGGGGCCCTCTCTTTGGTGAACAGCACTCCACCAAGCTCAGTTTTAGAGGCCCTCAGAGACAGTAGGGGGCGTGGACCCATTCAGATATGAACGCATGACCCCAGGTATCAAGAATGGAGAGAAAGTCTCCTTTCCTCATGATCTACTGTTTGATTTGAGGAACTCAAATCTGCTTGACTCAGGTGGGCTGGAAAGCTCTGGTGGGAAGCACGGTGAGAAAGAGCTGCCTCCAGGAGGCCTGAACTGCAGTTTTAGCCACAGACGGGCTGGCCATCGAGGTGCGTGTGCTGGAGTGAAGGCCATGCACTCAGTCCCGCAGCATTCCCGAAGCCCCTCCGATGTGCGCCCTGGAGCGCGACACTATGAGGAATGCACAGTTAACACAGCAGCAAAGGCACCGCTCACTGAAGTTGCAGAACAGGGACCATGGGGAGAGCAGGGAAACAAATACTGCATCCCTGGGACCATCACCCTTGACAACCAGCCACGTTTTCCACCATTCTCCCTGACGGCACAGAGCCCAGTGCTCAGCTCGAAAAGGGAAGTGGCACTGAAATGCCAGAGACACTAGCTGTGACTTAAGCAAGCCAAAATCACAGACCTCCACTCTCATGGCCACCACCCCAGAGCATCTTTACCCTCCTCCCCTGCGGCAGAGTGAGCAGTCAACAGGTGGTACAAGAATAAAATTCAGTACCCTCAGTGGGGCTGTAAAGCAGGAGAAAAACCCCAATCATCACCACACCAACGAAGTTTCTCAGACCTATTTCATGGTCCGATAATTCCCCAGAAGTCTTTTTCAGGAGAGGCTTTGCCCTTAGTGAGAAATGTGTAGTTGACTGGGCTGGAGGACATGTGGCTTTTACAATCCAGCAGGGCCCAACCGCTGGGATGAGAGAGCCCCAAACCCCAGAGGCGTCGCGCACGGGGTTGTTGTCCAGTCTGTCTTCCTGTGATGGTGGGCTGCTCTCTCCCCACCCGGAGTGGGGTTGTGCACGTAGAGAAGGAACCAGTGAATACAGTGTGAGAAGGTCAATGACACCCCACTCCTAGCGCTATTAGTACCTGTGCAGTAAAGAATCCCACCTTCCTCAAAGAGGCCTGGCCTTTGTCTCGGGGCCTGGGAGGTCAACCCTAAGCCCCCCGGAGGTCCTGCCTGATGGGAATGTCTTATTTCCCTGGAATCCCTGGGTCACGGTGGATAGTCTAACAATGTGATTTAGGGAGAGGGCTGACCACGTCTGAAAGACGAATAATTTAGGCTTGAATCACGCAGTACTAGTTGGTCTGGAGACTGAGATCAATCACACCACATAGATAATCAATCAGTCAATGCCTGGGTAATGGAGCCCCAATACATCTCTTAACATCAAGGCTTGGGTGAGTAACACTATACGGACTTTGTCACACATTAATACCAAGAAAGTAACACTGCCCTGACTCCACAGGGAGAGGATGATGGAAGGTCCGCATCTATATTTTCTTGGCCTCTGCCCTGTGTACTTCTTCACCTGGCTGATTTCAATCAGTATCCTTCCCTGTAATTAAACCATAACCATGAGTATAAACCTTTTAGTGAGTTCTGACAAATTAATGAACTTGAGGGTGGTTTTGGGAACTCCCATACTTCAGCCGAGTCAGAAGGGAGGGCAGTCCTGGAGGCTGTCTGCCCACGACTTCTCAGGTGGCCAATTCTCACAGGACCACACTGGCTCTGTTCCTTACCAGCTGTATGACCTTGAGCTGATTACTTCTGCGGAGTTTCCGCATCCTCATCAGTAAGGAGGCAATGTTAATACCTGCCTTGGAGAAATGTTGTGAAGGTTAGGGATTTTCCTGATTTTCATGTTTGTGTTACACTCTGGGATTCAGGCTATTCACTTATCTGTTTACTCATTTACACGTTCCTTCATTCATTCAATGAACATTTTTGAGTACCTATTAAAGTTCACCCAGTAGGTACAAAAATAAAGAGGGTCAGCTCCTTACTGTAGGCAGCTCCCTCTGGTGAATACTACTTCATTCACTTATTCATTCATCCACCCACGAAAACTTGCTTAGCATCTTCTACTTGTAATGCACTTCCTAGACACTGCAGAGGATACAAAGGTGACATAGAAAAGATCCTTATTCTCATGCGGAGCTAAGATGCAAACACGGCAATGACAAAAGAAGGTAGAACATAACTGCAGTGGAAGGGTTGAGAGGAGGCAGTTTAAAGTGAGTAAACATAAGAATTTGGGCCACGGAAAGCTTGGCATTTGGATTGTGACTTACTTTCATGACTTACTCAGGTATTATTTTTGCCTTACTTTTGTGTTTTCATTTGTTTACATTCTTACTACTTATCAATAATGTGTAACCCAACGTATATCACCTAACATCTTTCAAATATGAAATAAGGATAAGAATGACTACTACGCTCATCTTAAATCTTACGTAAATTTGTTAAAACTTTAGGTGGGTAGAAGGCAGGCCAGCTTGTCCTTCCTTCACAGCCAGGCACACAAGGTTACCCCTGGAGTCAGCAGGCTCAAGGAGTCCTCACTGCAGCTTTCCAGCTCCTTGTACTGTGTGCGCTGTCATGAGGGCAGTGGCACTGGGCATAATGTGAGCAATGAATACTCCATGATGAGGGCAATGGGGCCTCACTTAGAGCTCTGAGTGCCACCCTGGCTAGTTTTACGACAGCTCAAGGACCAAGGGAAAATAGCAAGTGAAGCACAGAGCATAAAAAATCGGGTGGAAAGGTCAACCCTTGCCTCTCTTCATAAGCTACCAGCTCTCAGTCCATTTCTGAGAGGCCTGGCTACATTGCTTCTGGAAATCTGAGACAGGCAAACCAGCCTCCCTCCCTTTGCGAAGGACAGAGAGACCAACAGGTATTGCCAACTGTTCCTTCCCAGGTCATATCTCCCTGGGACCTTGGAGCTGTCCTTTGAGTCTCACCAGGCTCCTTACCTCATGCACCTTACACCACAGTGTAAATTCAGTAACTCAAGCTCATTCTACATTTTCTGGCTGTTTTCCGTACCTGAATTTCTGGGTCTGGCCTTTGAAGAGGCTAGGAGGAAGGGAGTACAGGAGGAATGTCGTGTGAGGCAGACCACCCCCTGCCACTTGGTTGTCAGCCTAGAAAGTTTTTAAGTGGGGAGAATCGCTACACCAGAACAAAATACAACACAGACAACCAACTTCTCTGTCCTTTTGGGAAGAGAGGGTGACCTCTCAATTTATAGCCTCCTAGGAGAGATGAGGGCCAGAAATTGTAGTCCTCAAGGTCAGCATTCCATCATGACAGGTATCTGTTTCTGCATTTGAAACAATCTATCGCTGTGTGTGACTGTTCGATGTGGGTGGGCTCCCCCTGGACTGCGAGCTCTCTGACAGCAAGGTCAGGTCTGCTCGGCTCGCTGCAGGGCTTACCATGGGGTCTCGCACAGCCCAAACAGGCAAGGATGTGCAAGGGAGCACAACCAGGCAAAGCCAGGGCAAGCTGCTGCCTAAATTCACAGAGGTCATGGAGATGAGACCTCTGAAGTCCATCAGTAGGAGCAGACCTTTTCGGTTAGAAGAACATTTTGCAAAAATCCTCCCTGCTACAATATTTATGCTGTCACTGATCTCAAAGCACTTTCCCTGAGTTTCCTCTCATTGAGGCTATGATTGGGCCTGGTAGGAGAAAGCCAGAGCAGGGCACATGGACTAGATTCTAAAAAAACAAGATTTGCTCCACACTTAAATGGGCCAAGCAGAGGTTCTGCCATGCCAGGAGAGGAAGGGCCAAGGATGATAACAACAGCGATAGTGAACACTCACTGAGCTCTACGAACTGCTACGCAGCACAAGGCACTTCACATGAATTAGGTCACTTAATTACACATTAACTCTAGGACACGACAACTCTGGGACTCTAGGACATACTAATATCCCCACTGTTATAAATGAGGCTATCGAAGCTTAAAGAGGTTGGATCCTTGGTGTGAGAGGTCAGGATTCCCACCGATGTCCACACCATTGTCACACTGTGCCTTCTTGGATGGTTTGCCAAGAACCCAGGAGTCCTTCAGCCACTAGCAGCTGTCAGGGTGACAAACCCAGAAATAAGACCAGGACCGTCTCCTTGCTGCCTGGGTCCAACTTCACAAAGTGGAGACTGGAAATTTGGGCAGACCCTACTGTGAACGAGACAGACTGCTGTGTGAAATATCACTTTAAGTTCACAGGTGGTTTTCAAGGGAAAATAGGGAATCATAGCTTTCATTTTTAAATGAATCCACTCTATAATCAGAGAGTCCACTCCTAGATCTCATCCACTCTGACAACTGTGTGAACACTTCACTGCTCAGCAGACTGCTGGAGATGTAGGTTGTCCAGCAATCACTGCACGATGGAAATTTAATCCGTGCTGAAAGCGGCATCCTGCTCAGCAATGGCTCACATTACTGCCTCTGCTGGCAAAGGGCTGAGGGGGAGAGAGGACCAGTCAGGAATTTCCACTTGCTTATGGTCAGCCTTGAAGGAGGGGCTTCTCCTCATTGTGTTATTCCCGTGGAAGACCAAGCCCCTTCAGGCTAGCCCGTCACGGACTTTCGGGGAGTCCTCTGTGACCTGGCTGCCCCATCCGGAAAGGGCACCTGTTTGCTCTAGACCTCACTGACTTGTTCTTCAGGGTCAGGGATGTGCAAACACTGGAGGCCCTTAGCAGATGGGTGCTGCCCAAGCCATCTTCATCACCTGGGGCAAAGTTGCCCAGCTAGGCAATCAGGGGTAAACAAAACTAAAATCATAAAGCTAGTTTTTGCGATGCCTGGGTGGCTCAGTCCATTAAGCATCTGCCTTCGGCTCAGGTCATGATCTCAGCGTCCTGGGACTGAGTCCCACACTGTGCTCTCTGCTCAGCAGGGAATCTGCTTCTCCCTCTCACTCTCACTCTGTGCTCTCCCTCTCTCTCTCTCAAATAAATAAAATCTTAAAAAAAAAAAAAAAGCTAGTTTTCTTTTGTCTTCAGGTACCTGTTCTCTCCCAGAGAAAATAAAAGTACAATTTCCAGGGTCTCCTTTGGAAGATGCTCTTCCCTCCCCCACTCCAAGGAAGGGTCATGGAGCTAATTAGGTCTGGGCCAGTAGTCTCTCTCTCTTTTTTTTTTTTTTAAGATTTTATTTATTTGACGGAGAGAGACACAGCGAGAGAGGGAACAGAAGCAGGGAGAGTGGGAGAGGGAGAAGCAGACTTCCCGCAGAGCAGGGAGCCCGATGTGGGGCTTGATCCCAGGACCCTGGGATCATGAACTGAGCCAAAGGCAGACGCTTAACAACTGAGCCACCCAGGCGCCCTGGTAGTCTCTGCTTGGGTAAACTAAATCAGGACACCCATAAGACTCACGCAAGGTATTTGTTCAAAATAGGTACTCCTGGTCTCCACCCCAAGCCCACCAACTTGGCTACTCCAGGGGAGGGTCCAGGATTTACCTTTTTACCAAGTGTCCCAGGTGGCCCTTACCATCAGGGAAATTTAGAGCAGAGGTTTGAAAAGTGTGGTCTCTAGACAATAGGACCACCTGGGAACTTTTTAGAAATGCAAATCTTGGCCACAAAGAAGCATCCAGCGTGTGCCTCAGCATTAATGCAAAGCCTCCACCAGTCTGGGAGACACAGTACCTGCTCCCACACCAGAAGCCCTGCAGGACAGTCTGACCAATAGTGATTTTACTCCCTCTTTCATCTTGTTCTCTTTTGGTGGCCTTGATCATCTTCCATGGAGCACTCTGAATCCTGTACTGACCCTGGCAGACCTGGGCAGTAATGAACATAAGGTCCTGGGGCAAAGACAGTGGACTCAGGGAGTCCTGTGGGGGCTGGAGGGCGCACGTCCCCCTCCAGGCATCACTCAGTGAGACATCATTAAAACACTGGCATGGCCATGCACAAAACCACTGGCTGTGTGTATAGCCCCTGAGATGCAGGTTTTCTGCTCCTCTCTTTACCTAGAGGAGGAAGGAAGAAGCCTGGACAGGTGAGGTGGCTTCCCCAAGACTGCAGGGCGAACTGGTGTCATAACAGGAGCCCCTAATTCCAAAACTGAAGCTCCTACCGCTGACCCGCTCGCCCCCTACAGCACACTGCTTCAGGCCTCCTGTTGTCCCTCTGCACATGTCTTGTCCCTCCAGTACACCTGTCAACAACAGCCTGAGGGCAGGACCCGGGACTGTCATTTTTGTTCTGTTACCTTTTCAACAAATGACAAAGTGTTAAGGCCATGGTAGGTGTCCAAGAAATACTTACTGAAATCTCTGAATTACGTCCCATGGGTTGTGATTCTTACTGCCTAACGAGATGAAGAGACAGGGAACTGCGTGGAAAGGGGAAGATCAGCAGCCAGTAGGGAAAACAGGAAGCATCCTGGACTTGGATCCGGGAAACCTGAGTCTGAGTCTTAGTCAATCCATGATCCTAGTATTAGTCACCAGCAGTTTCCGTAATTACAGAGTGATAAGATATAGGCTCTGGTCTACTTTACAGGCCTCCTTCGAGGACGATCAAGTGAGGTGATGGACACGGAAGTCCTTTGGGAATGGTCCGGTGCCATGCAAAGGAGTACTAAAGGCAATTGCCAATCGACATGCACGCCACGTACTGTTTTAAACACTTCTTGCTATTTAACCCTCACACCAATTCTGGGAGGAAAGTCCTAGTATGGCCTTCATGTCACAGATGAGGAAATGGAGGCACAGAGAGGTTACATGACTTGCCTAGTGTCACACAGCTGGTAGGTGGCACCCAGATCCCATGCCGAGGGTACAGTGCTGCCTCCCCCCACAGGACGGTATATTCATCCGGGGAAGGGGCTGCTAGGACAAAGCACAGGCATGAAGCAGAACACAGGAAAACAGGGCTACAGCCCCCGGGCACAGGCTGACCTGCTGGCCACGTCCTCCTCTGCGCCTTTGTCCAGCACACTGCTCAGGTTGTGCTCAGCCTGCGTCTCCTCGGGCACCTCCTCCAGCTCCTCGGCCTGTTTCACAGACAGGCGGTAGTTCTCCAGCTCGATCCGTTCAGGAGTGCCCCTGAGTCGCTTGGCAATGCTAGGCTCTTCGAGACCATTCATACTTGAACCTGCAAGACAAGCAAAGCCTCAAAGTTCTATGACAAATGATGGCAAATAACCACAGGTGGTGGGGGGGATGGAGGAGGTGTGCAGGGAGGGGGGAGGCGCCGACAGAAGGATATCTAAGCATCCAAGGTAGTCGCCACTCATCTCAATAAAAGGAGGGACAGAGCTTCCATGAAGGCCAGGGAGCCAGCCAAGGGGCAGACTGCAAGTCGATGAGGTCACAGAGGCCAGGAAGGGGCTGCGCGGTGAGAGTGGCAACCCTTCCTTGAGCCTGAGAAACAGGAAGACAGCCCATCTGCCCTGAGAGGGGAGCACAGGCTTACCCTCCTCTGTCATCCCTGAACCCGTGCACAGTGGAGGGAAGAGGTGGCGGTGACTGGGGAGGAGGAGCAAAGGGGACTTGGGTCGGACCCTAAGGAGGCGCTTCTCACTGACCAAGCCCCCCTCAGCTGTCACTGAGAAGGGGAGTCCTGCCCGTTGCCCGCCCCCTGATGGCCCAGGACCCAGGAAAGGTTCATGCACTGCTCTTGGCTGATCCACAGACGTGTCCAGGCTAATTGCTTGCAGAACTTGTCACATTGTGGATTTGTCTGTCTCGTCATGATTAGATTCATGGTAAACACTTCCTATTTAGTAAGAACACCATGTGGGTGAGGCTGCGCCCCTTCCACTGCACACAGGAGGAATACAGTCGGGTTGCCTCATCTTTTTTAAATTGTTTTTTTCATTTTTATTTATATATTTATTTTTGAGAGAGAGAGTGAGTCAGACAGAGCACAAGCAGGGGGAGGGGCAGAGGGAGAAGCAGGCTCCCCGCTGAGCAGGGAGCCAGACGTGGGACTCAATCCCAGGACCCTGGGATCATGACCTGAGCCCAAGGCAGTTGCTTAACTGACTGAGCCATCCAGGCGCCTGGGTTGCCTCATTCTTGGTGACAAAAGCTTGACTGCTTGGTTAAAGTGGTGCCCAACCGGGGCGCCTGGGTGGCTCAGTTGTTGGGCGTCTGCCTTTGGCTCAGGTCATGATCCCAGGGTCCTGGGATCGAGTCCCGCATCAGGCTCCCTGCTCCGCGGGAAGCCTGCTTCTCCCTCTCCCACTCCCCCTGCTTGTGTTCCCTCTCTCACTGTCTCTCTCTCTGTCAAATAAATAAATAAAATCTTAAAAAAAAATAAAGTGGTGCCCAACCAACTTTCTGCTGTAAAGAGATATTTCCCCCTTTGTAATTAATAAGTAATCCATGGGGTGATACGTAGAAACCATGGGACATCCTTTCATCCAGGGATTTTAGTACCCATTGATGAATGGGGATTTTAAAAATTTTATCATTCCTTCACCACTGTCACTCTTTGTAAAGAACTTTTCCCATTTCTCTCTCTCTCAAAAACCAGGACTCACGGACTTTGAAAAACTTAAGTGTTGTATTTGCCATGTTTTCTTAATCTCCTTTATTCTAGAAATTTCCCTGTCTCCCTCCTTATTATCTCCTTCATCATTATGCTTTTTTTTTTTTATTACAGTCAGCCAGCATACGGCACCTCATTAGTTTCTGATGCAGTGTTCAACGATTCAGTAGTTGTGTATAACACCCAGTGCTCATCATAATAGGTGCCCTCCTGAATACCCAGCATTATTCTTTTTGATGTGCCTTTTTATCCCAAATTTGGTTAGAAGAGGCCCATTGCATTTATTCTTTACTGTATGTCTTCCCTGTAATATGATGTAGGTTTAGATTTAGAGTCAGACAAATCCAGGCTAGACACCTGGCTCTGCCAGTGACCAGCTGAGGGATCTTAGGAAAATTTCATAACTACTGAGAGCTCATTTTCCTGATCTATAAATGAGGACAGCCTCCAACTCCTAGGACTAATATGAATATGGGATGAAATTATATACATATATACACAAGTACGTGTGTGTACCAACTGCATGGGCCCTGAACCCGTCATCTTCCTCTTCTACTTAAACCCAGCACATGGGCAGTATACAGCAAATACAAGGTAAGTGCTATAACTGATGTCAGTAACATTCTTAGCACCAGTTTGTGTGTATTTTTGTGCAGGTATGTTGTATCCATTTGCTCTGGGTTGCGAACAAGAGTTACTTGACAAAGATGGGAAGGGAGTTCTGGGTACAGGGAACAGCAACAGTTAAGGTACAGTGACCTATAACGGCAGGTTGGTATTATTAGATCTGTGGCAGTATTCTTAAAGCGGTAGAGGAGAGGAAGAGACTGGGGTGGGAACAGAGCCCACATGGCCTTTGGTGACATTCTAACCTCTAAGAGATGAAACTGGGTTTTGGCAGGCAATATCATACCAACCCAGTGTTGGGTGACAGGTGGTCTATCAGGGGAAAGCCAGAATCTCTGTAATGAAGGACTAAAGGTGGGAATACTGAGTAATTTTTGTGACACGACAGGTGCGCAGAAAATCTTGTGGAAGCCTGGCACTTTTGTTGTGTACGATGTTCTGGACCTCTCCATATTGTCATTAGAAAGAACTTTTTATGAGTCCAGGAAGTCACAGAATAAAGTCTTAGTACATCTGTCAGATTTATCTGGATCTTCCACCAAATAGCATCTTTCAAATTTACTAGACAATCTTTACTAAAAAGCAAGACCCAGGGCACGTTCATCTACAAAACGTCTAATGATGGGGTCACAGCATGAATCCCTGGGCTCCCTAGGGCCCTGTGCAATGCCCACCTGTCCTAGTTTTTGCAACCCCAGTTGGGGCACTTTACACATCCCTGGTCCATTCTTCAACACTGACCTCAGGGCCCCCAAAGTGTAAGCTATGATGCTAGATCAGGGCATGTGGAAGTTTAGGAAATATGTGGACTCCAGGTAATAGCAAAAAAGAGAAAGGGAGCACAGCAGGTGGATGCTGCCGCAGCATCCTCCAAATCTGCCCCCCCCCCGCCCCAGGTTCTAACTGCACCAGTTCATCATTTCCAAACATCAGTCTCCCTGTCCTCTCTTGCTTCTTCCCCTCATCAAAACCCAACATGATAAACATGAGAAGGCTAAGGATCCCCTGACTATAATATCATTTGATTCTTTCCTTCCCGTCATGTATTTTTGACAAATACCCTTAAACAGAAAGCAAATAAGAGAGTGAGATAAATGGAAACCACTCCCCAAGTATAAAGTTTTGGGGAACTCCACAGATAAAGAATAAAAACCAGTATATCTCTTAGATAGGGAACGAAGAAAAGAATAAGAATGGTCACTTCAGGGAAACAAACAACTCATGCTCATCAATTCAGATACAAGCAATTTCAAGGTAGAGTGAACAAACACACTCATGGAGAGAACCACTCAAGAAGTGATGTCTGTTTTTAGCGGGTAAAAACCATACTGTTTGGGGCGCCTGGGTGGCTCAGTTGTTAAGCGCCTGCCTTCGGCTCAGGTCATGATCCTGGGGTCCTGGGGTCGAGCCCCACATCAGGCTCCCTGCTCAGCAGGAAGCCTGTTTCTCCCTCTCCCACTCCCCCTGCTTGTGTTCCCTCTCTTGCTGTGTCTCTCTCTGTCAAATAAATAAATAAAATCTTTAAAAAACAAAACAAAACAAAACAAAACAAAAACACCATACTGTTTGCCAGAAATTCTACTAGAACCTTGGGAAACAAAGCAGATTAAAACACTCTCTACTCTTAAGGAGCTGTAGGCTAGTCACAGAAGAGAGAGTCCTGCACAGGAATCATTTCAGCATGATGTCTCACGTGTTACGGCTCATGCACGCGGTGGTACTATGGGAGTACATAGAAGGGCAGCTCCACCTAAGGTAGTCAAGGAAGACTTTCTGGAGGAATATGGAGTTAGCCTAGCCAGCTTTAAAGAAAATTCTATGAGATAGGTAATGGTTTGCAAATGAACTGAAATTCAGAGACATTAGGCAACCTGTCCAATGTCACACAGCTAGTAAGCGGTGGAACCAAGATCTGAATCCAAGGAGGACAGCATTAATTCAGAAGACTATCATGCTCTTGCTGGATTTATGATGTTAAGAGAAGAAAAGAAAAGGAAGGAGTGTTTCCACAGAGTCCTGTTCTACTTTCCCCTTTGGGACTCCTCACCATTATCTCCTCCCCACTATAATTTTCAAGATGAGGGACACAGAACTACATGAAAGCTACTTAGAGCACAGAATCTGGCATTTTCAACAACATTCTGTCCTCCTTCCAGAGTTATTTCTCTGGGGTTTCTTTTTTTTTTTTTTTAAAGATTTTATTTATTTATTTGACAGAGAGAGACATAGTGAGAGCAGGAACAAGCAGGGGGAGTGGGAGAGGGAGAAGCAGGCTTCCCGCGGAGCAGGGAGCCCGATGTGGGACTCGATCCCAGGACCCTGGGATCATGACCTGAGCCGAAGGCAGATGCTTAACGACTGAGCCACCCAGGCGCCCTTCTCTGGGGTTTCTATAAGCTCTGTGGACTAATAGATCATCAAGCAACAGAATTTGGCAGCCCAAACCCACAGTTTGGGGCTCTGGGGAGGAGAAACGTTGACTTAATTCTGGGCTTGGCCACAATCAATAAAAAAGAAACAAGAGGCTCTCAGAACTATTCAGATCATTCACACATCAGTCCCCCAAGAGAAAGGATGCTTTTTCATGAAAACTGTTAGAAGGGTCCCACTGGAGATTTCCAAGACTTGAGGTGGAAGGAATAGAGTTGCCTTACTGTTTCGGTCTTCCTACACCACTGGGTCCATGTCCACATGGAGCTAGACTCACCCAGAGCTTTGAGCAACAAGGGCATTGCATGACATTGCCTTTAGGGCTGAGTCCCCACGGAGGTTCCGTTTTCCCAAAGGGAAGGTGGCACTTCAGAGGATACTCGGCAAGTACCAAAACTCACCAACTGCCAAAATATGCTTAACATTCCTAGCCCATAACCTCAAAACACCATGAGAAATGAAAAAAAAAAAATCAACCAAACCAGCACACTTGATTCTCTGTGATAAGCAAGGGGCTATGTGCTAGATTAACCAGGTGGTGA